ATATTCTCATATATTTTCTTATAATTTCAAGTTTTGTTTTTTCATATTTAGTCTTTAATCCAATTGGGATTTACTTTTGTGGGTAGTGTGAGGTGGGCATCTCATTCCCAGGTAGGAAATAAATTGTCCCAACATTTCAGAATTCTGATTAATACTGGTAAAATATTCTATTGAATGGATATGTCAGGATTTATTGAGTCATTTACTTATTGAAATTTATGTTTAAAATTTGTTGTAGTGTATATTCTTATATAAACCTTTAAGTATATTTTAAATGATTTACTTAGGATAGATTCTTGGAAATACTGTTACTGGATATAGGCATTTTTAAGACTCTTACTATATTTCATACAGGTTCATACTAATTAATATCCTACCAGTTAGAATACTATATTATAAGCACATCTTACTACACCTTTGTGAGCAAATATCTTTTAAAAATTATGTCACTCTGGTAGACAAAAACAGTATTTTGCATTATTTTATATAAAAATTTTTTGATTACCCATGAGGTTAAACATTTTTTTGACCTGTTTGTTAGACACTTAGTTTTCTTTTTAGAAATTGTCTATTCATGCCCTTGACTATCATTTATATTATTATCGTTCTACTTTTCGTTATACTCATTGTACTTTTGCTATACATTTGAAAGTAATTTCTGAAGTCTATCATTATTTTTCTTTGTGTCTTCCTTTATTATTTTTAAAATGTTTATGAAGTCTTTCTCTGTTCTGAAATCTGTTAGGTATTCACCTAAACTTTTTCCCCCTGGTTTCTTTTATTACCTTTCAACTCTTAATCCATAATTTATTTTATGGTATAATTGAAACAAACATTTTAATTTATAGGAGGAATAAGATCTAGTATTCAATAGCACAATGGGGTGACTATAGTTAATAATATTTTACTGTATATTTCAAAATAACTAAAAGAGTAGAATTGTCACATTTCTAACACCAAGAAATAATAAATGCTTGAGGTGATGGATACCCCAGTTACCCTGATTTGATCATTACACATTGTATGCTTGTATCAAAATATCACATTTACCCCATAAATATGTACAACTCTTATGTATCCACAATAACTAAAAATGTAAAAAATCAATTTACTTTTTTCAATAACTAATAGTAATATAATAACAGCTATCATGTATTGAGGACCCATTATGTCCCCAGCCTTGTGCTAACCAATTCACATTAATTAACTCATTTAACAAATAGTTTTATTGAATAAGACTAATTTTCTCACTGATACAGAAATAAATATTTTCTGAAGTATTTATTATGTTCCATTGATCTGTCTGTTGATTCTTATTCTAGTAATGCACTTACCAACATCATCAACTAGTTGATAGATCCCCACAGTTTGAAAAATATTTGTGGTTCATCTTTTAAATATACACCATTCTTATTTCTCTTAAGATTCTACTAAGATACAGAAAACTTAGATAAAACTAGTTGTCTTTAGTTTAGTGGAGAACTCAGGCCTGCTGCAACCCAAATTCTAACCCTGGCCAAATTCAGGAAGTCAAGCAATCTTGTTTTTTCTTTTTTTCTTTTTCCCCCTTCTTAAAATTGTGAAACAAAACCAATACTGAAAAGATCTGTTTCTGGAGTATTTATTCTGTTCCATTGATCCATCTGTTGATTCTTATTCCAGTAATGCACTTACCAACATCATCAGCTACTTGATGGGTTCCCTGCAGTTTGAAAAATATTTTTCTGCGCAGATTTATGTTTAAATGTGGCAGTGAAAAAAATTTTAATGGTTGTACCCAATTGTTTTCTAAGAAGACAAATATATATGTATATGTATGTGTGTATATATAACATATATTTATATATGCTTATATATTTTTATATATTCACATATATAAATATATATTCACATATAGAAATTATATATGTATATATAATTTTTTTTAAAATAAAACTTTGGTAGTTCCTTTGAGATCTGGATGGTGATGCTTAGTGATTATGGCCTTGAGGGAAACGGTAAAAGAAGAAAAGAAGAGGAAGTCAACACATGCTTTGGGGATGGGGTTGTGGACTATCGTCAGTAGGGGCAAAGGAGGTGAGAGAATGGGCTGGACTGGAGTCTAGGGATCAACTGTACTAAGATGACATTCTTGGCAGCAGATGACTAAACTTCCTGTAGGAACATAACTTTTCTGGCAGTATTTCACTGGAAGCTGTTTGCTATTGTCTCTACTCCTGCTGTAAAAGTCTGTTATGCACACAGTCCTGGCTTTGTGGCCTTTGCAGAGAAAAGATGTGAGGGTGGAGTCCTTGGGGTAGGTTGTGCAGGAGAGGGAGGGCGCATGCAGGGCAAGCAGTATCTGTGGCACTTTGCTAATTCAGTAGACATGGGGAGGTGAAGCCAGGCCACCCCATACCTTCTCCCCTCTCACCTCATCCTACCCATGGAAGGCCAGGAAGGGAAAATGGGTCCCTTTCATTTGACTCTCAAAAAACCAACTGATCCCAGCTGACATCTTGCAGCAGTATAATTTTGTATATTCCATGACCACTGTGTTCATGATGTTTGAAACATATCAAGATCTTTCCATGTCAATCACTGTAAATATCACTATCCTCTAAAATGAGCATGTAGTGTTGCTACTATAGGACTGTACTATTACCCATTTAATTACATGATCGTGGTGTTCTTAGGAATTTACACTTTTTTTACTTTTGTTGATAATGTTAGGCTGAATGTTCTTGTATCTAATTTTTTTTACAAAAAATTAGAATATAGAATATTTCACATATAGAAATTACATATTATATATAATTATTTTTAAAGAAAAGAATTTAGTGGTTCCCTTTAGATCTGGATGGTGATGCTTAGAGACTATGGCCTTGAGGGAAATCTAATGTTTACCAAAAAATTAGATACAAATGATCTCTTTAGTATAAGCCTCTTGAAGTGGGAAAGCTGGTTCATAGCTTATGAAACACATGAAACACAACAGGTTGCCCTGTAGAAAGAATGCACCAGTTTCCACTCTCACTAGCAATGTATGCAAATGCACATGGCCACGACTTGTTGGTGAGACGTGATAAATGAAGGAACACATCTCTTAACATTAGTGTTAGGTCCAAAAACAAGAGCAGGCCAGTGTGGTGGCTCATGGCTGTAGTCCTAGCACTTGGAAATGGGAAGTTGAGGTGAGTGGGTTGCTTGAGCCCAGGAGTTTAAGAACAGCCTGAGCAACATGGCAAAAGCCTGTCTCCAAAAAAATAGAAAAATTAGCTGAGCTTGACAGTGCACACTTGTAGTCCCAGCTACTTGGGGGTGGGGGGCTGAGGTAGGAAGATTCCTTGAGCTAGGGAGGTCGAGGCTGCAGTGAGCCGTGATCATACCACTGCACTCCAGCATGGGTGACAGAGCGAGACCCAATCTCAAAAAAAAAAAAAAAAAAAAAAAAAAGAACAAGAGCAGGTGGAATGCTAGAAGAAAATTAATCCATTGTTCACAAGTTTACTTTTCCACTTCCCTGAATAATACAATAGAAAACAATTGATCCCTTTTTAAAAAAAAAAAAGATAATCCAAATGGCAGGCTGATGGACAGTTTAGTCATCTTATGGAAAAAGATGTGTATAATAGTATAATGTTGCTCTAACAAGATTAACGTGTGCAGGTTGTAGATTGCAACTCTGGTGTTCACCTTTCATATTATATCTTTGAAAATGGCATCCTTTGAACATGGTGCATCTGTTTGTCCTCTGACTTGGCTTTGGGTCTAGTTTGCATTTTAATTGTGTATTGTGGTTGGATAACTCAGGAGTTATTGGTGACCCTTCTGTTGGAATGCATTCCAATGCATGCAGAAATGATTTGGAGAAAAATAGAAATGAAAAAGCGATGATTAATTTTTTGCAAAAGTTTAATATCTACACTTGATATAAAATTGTAATTATGCTAATTACAAAAATTTAAACAAACCTATTTGCCTTTAATTTAGTGGAGAATTCAGGCCTGCCACAACCCAAGTGCTGTTCCTGGTCAAATTAAGGAACTGTCAAGCAATCATTTTTTTTTTTTCTTTCTGTTCTGCTACCTTTTAAAATTGTGAAATACAACCTATACAGAAAAGTATATAAAACGTAAGTGTACAAGTTAGCTAAAGAGTTCAAGGTGAACAGTACACACCCATCAAGAAATACGTCATACAATTTTTAGTTTTTTACCTTTCCTTGAATTAATTCTCTGGTGGAAAAAGTGATAAAGCCATATATGTGCATGCAGTAAGAAGACTTTGGCCGGGCGCGGTGGCTCATGCCTGTAATCCCAGCACTTTGCGAGGCCGAGGCAGGCGGATCACAAGGTCAGGAGATTGAGACCATCTTGACCAGCATGTTGAAACCCCGTCTCTACTAAAAATGCAAAAATTATCTGGGCGTGGTGCTGTGTGCCTGTAATCCCAGCTACTCTGAAAGCTGAAGCAGGAGAATCGCTTGAACTAGGGAGTCGGAGGTTGCAGTGAGCCGAGATCACACCACTGTACTCCAGCCTGGCAACAGAGTGAGACTCCATCTCAAAAACAAACAAACAAACAAAAAAAAACAAAAAAAAAAAACACACGAATGACTAGGGTGGCAGAAGCAGGATTGGGAAAGGAAGTTGGGGGGCTGGTAGACTAGGAACAGGGGTGGAGTGGGTAACCAGGTCATCCTTGGATGCATTTTTGTACTGTTTTTTTGACTGTGAATGCTATTTTATTTCTGCCTTAAAGTGAACATGGGTAAGAGGAGGAAACTTACTGTTCCCTACCTAGAGAAGAAGTGGTTGTGTGCATGCATGTTTATAGAAGGGGTATGCACTCATTCCCTTGTTCTGTGTAGTTCTGTGGAATTCTCATTAAAAAGCTGGACAGAGCAATTTTTAAAATAACTTGAATTGAAAGGACCCAAACTGGCTCCTATTGTGTTATGTTTTCTGTTGTGTTTATGCATTTAGTCTGTTGATACTTTTTTTTCTTTGATTGAACAGATTGCTGAGCTGAGAGAAATAGAATACATCAAAAATTTACCCATCCTTCGAGTTCTCAATCTTCTGAAAAATCCAATTCAGGTGAAACATTACTTATCTCAGGGGAGGGAGAGAGAGAAGAAAGTGGGAGGGTGGAGGGGAACTGTCTAGGAATTCTTTAAGAAGTACTTTTGGTAAAAGAATATCAGGAATGTGACTAGAATTTGTCTATTTTCCTTCTCTCTAAGGAAGGATTTAGTAGTACCTACAGTGACCATTTTTTTTTTTAAGACTTAAGATCTTCTTTCATGACTAACAAGCTGTCACATGACTGTCAGTGAAGGAAAGCCTGAAACTGAATATCATTTAGTTGCTCTGCTGGTCATTTGTGACTCATCCCTGGTGGTACTAAAGGTTACAGGAAAGAGGTAATAAGATTACAGAACAATGTTCTCTCACATTAGACAATGCAAGACATAGGTGGAGACAGAATGTGATTCCTATTTTATAACAAGGGAAAGAAAATCTAAGATTAGATACCTAATTTACCTGGATATAGCCATGAAATTGATGTATATGTAAAATAATTATAGAGCAAAATAATACATTTCCCAGGAGTTCTTCACACCTCTGGGTTTGAAGGATCGGGGACTGTGTTTCGAGTCCCTCTCTTTCTCTCCATTGATTGATGCTTTCTCCCGGCCTCCTTTCCTCCTTCCTTGTCTGCTTGTCCTTCATTCCATTCTTCTACCTGTATCCTTCACTTAGTTTCCACAGGCTCTTGACTTTGCATGTAGCTCTTAGTAACCTTCTTTTTGTGTGTATCTTGATGAAAATGTCTAGATAGGTGAAAAAAAATATAAGAAAGATTTATAAATTAAAAACTGCCCTTGGGACAGGAACAGTGAGAGGCAATTTAAAAACATTTCTGGAAAAGTAAGAGGCAGGGTTTAAAGTGGTCAGCACACCTCAGTTTCAGATCCCTGAAGGGTGTTTGTGCATACGCATGAATAAGCATCACAAGCCCTTTGACACATGTTAATTGATTTATATACAAAACCTTCCCTCCAACATTTACACCTAAGCTTTGTACATTCACCTCATATGCGGTCTCATCTATTGGGAGGGCACAAAAGTAATTGTGGTTTTTGCATTATTTTAATGGCAAAGACCACAATTACTTTTGCACCAACCTAATATATAACGGATTATCTGCTAATATCTAATGTCTTTTTTCCCCTCAAAGAGGCATAGCTTTTTACTACAAAAACTCTAATTATATTTCCAAAAGGCAGATAATCCTGATGGTAGGCAGTAATAAGGTGTTGATCTGATAAATGAATATCATTTTATTATTACAAAAATTCATAATAAACAATACAAATTAATATGAAATATTGCATATAAATAATAACAAAATAATATAAAATATTAAAGTTTCATTATTGGCAGAATTGAGACTTGTTGGAATTAGAAGACAGGGTTGAAGTGACTGGCCACGGGATCTTAGATGAGATGCTTCACCTTTCTGAGGCTTGGTAGCCTTTAGAAATGAGGATAATCTGGAAGCCATTATCCTCAGCAACCTAACACAGGAACAGGAAACCAAACACTGCATGTTCTCACTTATAACTGGGAGCTGAACCATGAGAACACATGGACACAGGGAGGAGAACAGTGCACCCTGGGGCCTGTCGGGGGCCAGGAGCAGGGAGAGCATAAAGATAAATAGCTAATGCATGCGGGGCTTAATACCTAGGTGATGGGTTGATGGGTCCAGCAAACCATCGTGGCACACCCTTACCTGTGTAAGAAACGTGCATGTCCTGCACATATATCCCAGAACTTAAAATTAAATTATTATTATTATTTTTTCTCTTTTTTTTTTTTGAGACAGAGTCTTGCTCTGTCACCCAGGGGCTGGAGTGCAGTGGCGCGATCTCGGCTTACTGCAAACTCCACCTCCTGGGTTCACGGCATTCTGCTGCCTCAGCCTCCTGAGTAGTTGGGACTACGGGCACCGCCACCACGCCTGGCTAATTTTTTTGTATTTTTAGTAGAGACGGGGTTTCACCGTGTTAGCCAGGATGGTCTTGATCTCCTGATCTTGTGATTCATCCGCCTTGGCCTCGCAAAGTGCTGGGATTACAGGCGTGAGCCACCTCGTCTGGCCAATTAAATTAAATTTTAAAAAAAGAAATGAGGGTAACCCACCTGTCCTGTTAATCTCTAATCTCACAGGGAGATTAACAAGAATGTACACTTGAAGACCTTTATAAGTTACAAGGCACAGTCTGCATTAAGTTAATGTAAGGACACTGGGAAGTGTGAAATGCATAGCCCTGTGAGGGTGTGTGTGGGAATGATGAGGTAGCAGGTGAAAAGCCCAAGCTCATGAAAACCCAATGTTGGTGCTTGTTATTTTGGGAAAAGGAAGGCAACTGAGCAGTCCTCTTAATATTTTAAATAGGAAAAGTCTGAATATTGGTTCTCCGTAATTTTTATGCTTCTGCGATTAACAGAATTAGATCAGAAGAAGATTAAAGTGGAAGAAAAGGTATGTAATCATGTCATACCATTACCATTGTGTTTATGGGTTAATATGCTCAAAAGCTCGTGTTGCCTGCTGTGGAAGCAATATAATCAATAAATAAGACACATAACAATATGTACATTAATTCATTTAGGGAATGTTTCCTTGTCTTAGGATCTGTTTGTTTAACCCTCTGCAAAGGTGAGTATCAACACAAATGTAGTGAAAGGCCTGATGACTTGCTGTTAGTACAGTGAAGAGGTTGGCCGTAGGGAACAGAAGCAACACTCCACTTATATAGGTCATAGCTTTATGGCAGACTATCAGTTTGAAAAACTATCCTATTTGGAAGGTGTATGATTCTATCTGTGTTACCTGAAAAATTCATTTAACAACAAAATGTACTATAATGTCACTCTACCATATAATCGAAAGGTACTCAAATAAATCACTACTCTGATATTTTAAATCCTTAATTCTGCTCTTTAAAATAATGATTCATCTAGTCACAGAATTCCAGAATAACCAGACCTTGAATGCTAGCACCTGCCTCCCTGCTTTTCAAACTCATGGTCACTGCTTTGTCTTGCTTTAGTGGTTGGTGACAGCCAAAATCTCTACTAATGAAGGATTTCTTACACTGGATGCAAATTTGAGATGGGAATGAAAACAGGTGTAAATATGTAGAGAGGCACGTATTCCATCTCATAAATGCCTTTCTGAAATCTTGGTTAAAAATAGTTACAGATGACAGACTGTCATTATTCTCACACTCAAAGGTACTTATTAGATTCCTCTTTTCCTTTAACATTTTGCAAAAGGAATACCATTTAAAACCATGTATTAAGTAAAGATATGGCATATGGTAGATGAGGATAATGTATTTAGAAGAATGGGAAAGACAAGGGGATGGAGAACTGTACATTATGAAGAAAAGGCCCATATCCTTGAATGAAGAAAGTTATGCTAAATGAAGAGGAAGTTTTGGTAGAATTTGAGATTGTGGGAATTGTTCTTGGTGAGATGGTATGAGGAAAACATTCCCCACGCATCAAAACCTGGAATCTACAGCTATAAGTTTTATTCATTTTTCACATATTGAAAGTTGGAATGTTTACTATATTAAAAGTAATCATAGGCTTTAGAGGGGCTGTGGGTTTTTGTTTGGTGTTGGTTTTTTTTTTTTTTTTTTTTTTTTTTTTTTTTTGTCATTTTCCCTCCCAAACCAGGCAGTATAAAGAAGTAGGAGATCAAAAGACTCCACTCAATATTTTAAAATAATTATCATTTCTTGAATTTTAGGAAAATTAGCATAGACATGAAGACTGAATACTAACATTCATGGGCATGTGTTAAATTATTGTGTGTACCTGGCTGCATGTGTACAACATTTCATTAAGGAAAACTCCAAGCTTTGTCTCCTTTTAAGAAATAAAACCTTTTTTCCCTTTTACATCTCTAATTCTGGAAAAGGTTTCGGCAGTGAATAAATATGATCCTCCCCCTGAAGTGCTTGCAGCTCAAGACCACCTGACCCATGTTGTCAACAGCGTGATGCAGCCGCAGAGGATCTTTGACAGGTATTTATTAGGAATCCACAGGCCAGAATTCAGGGTGAGCAAGCACAAGACAGCCTCATCATTTCCCCTAGCCCTCTATTTTGTGACCCCTTTATTTCCGATAAAGGCTGCTTTTTACCCTTCTCTCAGGGAAGGGACCAAGTCTTTATTTGATAGATGATATTGTCTCCGTTATGGTATATTATTAATATCATGTACTTGAATGTGCTGCTTGCTTGCTGGTATTTCCCCAAGCGTGGTGATGAGTTGATTCATCTTCACTAATTTGTCTAGCCCCTTGTATGGTGGCCATTCTGTGCCATACAACACTGAAATCTTTGGAAAAAAGAAAAAAAAAAGTCAATTTTTCTACCTTATGAGAGAAACACAGACCTTAACCTTAACAGAAAATTGTGATAATTTATATCCATTGTAAATTTTCCCTCAGCTGTGAGTGAATGCTAAATACCCTTGCCAAAGACTGTTCCATGAATTCACATTATTAGGGAGTCCCTTAGAAGGAAGCCCAGCTAGCCTAAGGCAAACCCGAAGCAGTCTTTGCACTAAGCTGCAATAAACTCAGTAGGGAAGAGTCACCCAGCTCGATGGAACACATGAACAGAGTCTCTCACCTCTGAATTCGAAGACAGATTTACCGTGCTTTCTCCATTTCTTTTTAAAACAATCTGTTGGAGCAGATGGCCATATATGCTATAAGTATAATGGAGAAATTCTATCAATACCCAAAGGCATTTTAAAAATACTTGTAAAATCTCTTGGATATAAATGGTTTCTTTTCTTCATGTGGTATTTGCTCCTGTACTTCACATGGCTGGTTTCCCACAGAGAGCAAAATGTTTTATTTTGCAACCCAGGACATGAGTTTTACATATAATTTAATAACGTAGATATTGACAGTTTTACATGTTTATGGTGGCCCTCTAGGTGAAATGAATTATCATTTATTTACATGCATCTGGAAAAGCACATTTGATTCAAAAGAGGGGCATTTATCTCCTCATTGTATTTCTTTTCTAGTTTATGGTATTGCTAGTTGTTTCATGCTTTAGGGTACACTTAAATAAAAACATATATCAAAGACATTTGCAGCAGTGTTGGATAAACACATATGTCTTGATCATTTCTGGCTGTCGGGCAAACAAGAACAAAGGCCAAGTAGGCCCAGATGTTCCAGGATGGAGTGGCATTCATTGTGGAAACTCATGGACACAGAACCAGTAGCTAATGTGCAGGCCTGCAATGCCCTTCCTACTCTGTCTAGGCCAGTATACCGCTCTCTGTCAGCACCAGAAGTCAAGATTCAGGAGAGGAACCCCAACCCTTGGCTTTGGGACTTGTATGCTGCATTACTGGGGAATCACTGTCCCCTCTCCTGGTAAAATTGAGGTGAGGATACAGTATTAAAATGACATGACCAAACCTTGACTCTGGTCTGGTAGTCATTGATAGCTTCTTACCTTCTGATATGAGAAAGTTCTCCAGACTCATCTTGTATATGTCCTGTCCCAAATCTGTAATCAGCCTTTTCTGCAAGAAGCTCCAGTTTTAGTGAAAAGTAGTATTTCCCATTCCAGTCTGGGGGTTAAGATACTCATTGCTACCAGGTTGGTCATTTATTTTGAGGCCTTTTAGTGGAAAGAGCTAAGAATGTAAATCTTTTCATCAGTTCATCTGTCCATCCATTCATTCATCCATCCATCCATCCATCCATCCATCCATCCATCCATCCATCCATTGTAAATGAAGAGGGTTTAGGATGTTGTTGTTCCTTACATTTATTGTTATTATTATTATTAATATTGTGTGTTATTTGTGTGTTGTGAGATTGTTGATTGTCGTTGTTATCGGTGGTGTGTTGATTCATTGGTGTGTTGGCTTGTTGCGTTTTATTATTATGCTCACAATTTCTTTGCATTTGACCTCTGTTTGACCTTCTTCACTATGTTTGACGGGACAGGGCAGAAGAGGTTTAAAGTAACCTTACGATGCTTTCACAAGATAGGTATTCTAAGCGGCGTTTTCGGAACGTTTTTATTTCGCGGTGACAAACCCTTTTTTATATGATATTGCAACATATATTAAATTCTTGTTCAATTGGTATTCATTTATGGTAACATCACCTGTGTTGTTTCTTAAGTACGATCAAATATGATTCAATCTAACAAATTCAATACTTACGTAAAAGTTTTGTTGTTAATGGTGAAATGTTTTAACTGCACACATTTACTTAAGCTATTTTTGTGGATCAAATGTGTTTCTTTATTCCCTTTAGTTCGTGAGCAGTTTCTTTGTGTTTCGCCCGCTTCATCGTGTTTTTAAGCTCATTTTTTCAAGCTGCTATTCATTTGTGACTTCTTCACTAATTTGTTCCCTGTTCTACTGGAAATTTCTACTTATGTTTCTGGATCATTTTCCCTCTACAGTGTGGCGCTTTGGTTACAATTTCAAAGGCTTTAATTCTTTTTGCGGCTTTTTAAAGAAAAGGAATTATGTCTTGAAGTTTATGTTTCGGCTTTATGAAAGTTGGATAAAATATTGCCACAAAGAAGAGGTTCTTTGCTTTTGAAGTCCCATTCCCAAATAATCTGTTCAATAACTCCCCACAGCTGATTGTCCACAGAGGCTAATAACAATGTTGAATAATATTCTTTGAACTGGGAAATTTGAACTGGGTTCTCAAGATTTATAAGATTATTCTGTTGTTGTTGAAGCCCTTCTTTCTTTATGACATTAATCATTTTATTAGGTTAATGTACTGTTCTTTGTTATATATGCTGTTTTTGTTTACATTTTATTTTTTTAATTGTTGATATTTTTATGATCTTTGTTGCTCTTTGTTCCCTTCAAATCCACATCTTCTCTTACCTGGATTCATTCATAATTTAGGTTTGAGTTTTCTGTTCCCATCTTGATTATTTAAACTATCAGGCTTTATTATTATTAAATTCGTTCATATTCTTTGGGCTGTGATCTGTTTAGGGCTGGCTCAAGCCTTCTTTACCAGTTCTAATTTTCTTTTCTATGATTTATATGATTAGTGCACTGGTTTTAGAGGATTGAGGGAGGAGGAGGAAGGAGGGTGCCTTCTCTCACAGCATGTTCTATATTTTCTACCATCTGATGGAAGAACGATCTCTTCCCTTTAATGAAGCTCCGAAACTGTTATTACGAACTAATTGCACTCGCAACTTTGCCACTAATGTTCTCACTTGATTGATTGGTTATGCTGGAAGTTTCTTCTTCACTCTTTGTAGTGCCTGTTGGTGTGTGTCTTACCAAGACCTCTGCCATTGTGCATTTGATTGGTGTTGACGTTCACAATATTCGAAACGTTGCCCACACGCCTGCTGTTTTTGTTCCTTTTTCTTCCCTTACAATTTTGTAAAGGAGCACAGATTTCAAATTGATCATTTTCTGTTCTTCAGTTGCTAGTTTATTGATATTGTTCAAAATAACCATGAAAGTGATTTTGATTTACAATTTGACCAAGTGCATTGAAGCTTTGTGCTAATTGTTGTGATCAGAGTCTTACTAGTAGGTGGAAATTATTGCGACCGCACCCCATGATGGTTAAACGGAAATTACTGGATCTTAAGCTGCTTACCCCACGGCATGCCCAAGCCTTGACCTTGATCTTTCTAACCTTCTCTAGATATTCTTGGCGTTCACAGAAGATCTGATAGTTTGGGATTGGTTTTGTTCTTCACCTATCTTCCCCAAGCTGTTTGGAAGGGAAACTCAGTGGCAGGTGATGTGGGACTTCTTTAGGCCACTGCGCTTATACCGGGATGATGAGCCAAGCGCTGTTTCCCCCTGCTGTGTCGCAATGATGTTGAAAGGGGTTATTGGGCAAGTTCGACAATTTATTAAGAAGACCTGTCTTTACTAACTCTTTTATATCTCACATTGACTTTCATTCCCCAAACAATATCTTGGTAAGTTCTATATATGTTGTCCATTATATAATAATGTTGATTGTCTGTTTTCAAGTTCAGAATCTAACCTTCTCTCAAAATATTTTGGTGTGGGTACTTCTTAGAGAAGGTATGAGATTTAATTAAACATTTTGCTGATCTCTCTCTTTGGATCAATCTTTTTTTCTGAACTTTATGCATCTGTTGTGCCATTTCCTGTATTTAAAAAATTTAACCTGTTTGTGTTAACTCAGCATTCTTTTAGGTGTTTCTGGGCCTTCAACCTTTTTCTTTGTTTTTATTTCTCTTTTGCCACTTTTGATTACTATTGTTTTCCATTTTTGGTTCTGCCCCACCACCATATTGTTTCTGCTCAACGTTGGGTTCTGCTTCTTGAGTGATATGTAAACAATGGCGCTCGAAACGGTTTCATCGCTCACTGGCGACCCCACGTCGAGTGTTTGAAGGCGTCAACGACAGCGCGCCACTGGCGCCGGCGCGATGCTACGGGGTGATGATGTGGTGTATTGGTGAATGGTGATGAAGATTATTGAGCTTGTTGTTGCTCATGATGAAACCGATCTTTTTCTCTCTATAAGCTGTTGAACCATGATTCGTTTGTTTCGGTTCTCTTGTTTCTTTTTAAAACCATGTTGCGACGTAACATTATTATCTGTTTAAGGTTTGTTGAAGTGAAGGATCTTTCAGTTCGAATTTCATTTGATAACTATTCTCACGTGTCTTTCAGTTTCATCGATTCTCTTAAATGTGAAAAGTCTCTTATTTAATTAGTTGAACCTCAGATCTCAATATGAATTTTAGTTCCTCCCCTAATTTCTCACATTTTGGGTACCATGGTAGTTCCCAGATGTATATGTTATAAGTAGGCTCAAGACATTTTTAGGCAGATTGACCCAGTCTCATGAAGAGTGTTTCTCAACTGATGATAGGAGGAGGACACTCAATGTGAGCCTGTGAAGAGGAGAAGCAGTTCCCAAGTGCTAAGAAGAGACCCAGGCAGTTGAGTGATGCAGAAGGAAATGTTCTGATTTTCTGGGTTTTTCCAATGTTCAGTTGATGACATTG